CACAATAGCGGGGAAAAAATGCCATGTCCACCAAACATCTTTTCAAAGTCCCACACTGCGTTAGACTGTGCACTAACATTACCCCATATTATAGGCAAGATCTAACGTTGTTGACTGCTTTCTACTGCATCATAGCCTATATGAGATTAGCGCACCCGGTCTACACATCGCATATGAACCAACCATTGTTTTAACCACTGTTAACTGTAACCCATGCTTTGAGCTATACATGAATGTCCTTACCTAAGCTGAGATCAGATACCTAAATTAATGGCAGAACACATAGCTAAAAAGTCTTACCTTACCAGCCTAGCTAATACCTTTAATAGAATGATGCAATGATAACCAGTAATACACTATGGGATCGCAGCAACCTAGGGTGAATGTTTCACTAGTTAATACTCAATTTGTTTCCTGTACAGGTTCAGTGCACAATTTAGTTTTCCACCTCCCAGCCTCTGTGTCCAGCGGAGCATTTAAGCACCTCAGCATGTCACTTAGAACCGCTAACAACACGCTAATTGCCTTCTCTGACCAACCCCTGATTTAGCAATTGAACGGTCTCATTGGCGAAGTTTAAGACCTATATACAAATCAGTATGCCTAACATAAATGCCGCTATACTCAACGACAAGCATTCATTGTCACGTTTTGTTCCACATCTTGTTTTACTTTACGTTAAATAACCATTTTTTTTATTTTTTTTTGTTTGACAACGTAGCCGTTTTGTTAAGCGTGATATCATTACATAATATAAAAAATGTGCAATTTTTTCTGCCACTGCATAACTACTGTAACCTTGAAATACGCTGTTGTGGCGTCCATCAATAATCTGTAACCCACAGAAAAATAGGGGACAATCTGCTAAATACAAATAAAAAACATAGCATATAACTGTGTGGAGACTGGTATTGATGTGTGATCACAAATGGTCACTCACAATTTTGAAGAATTAAGATAGCCTTGAATGATGTCTTTATGGAGTTAGAGCAGCTTTAAATGGTGTTATTCAATATCCAGTATATTGTCTCTCCTCACATATTCATCAGCGAATAGATATGTGTGTCTCAAAAAGAGAAAATGTACAAAAATGTAGTGCACTTCCAGAATATGTTAAAAAATATATTTAATGACTTACATTTAGGTATAAAACAAACAGCATGTCACCATACACGTCCTACGTGTTTCGTCCTGAAATTGGACTTCCTCAGGGACTTGGTGTAATAAAGTGCAATCAGAAATAGCAGCAATAATAACAATATCCCCCCCACAGTCCTTTATATACACCCCCATTTAGTATTTAAGATCTTTCAGCTGGTGTTCGATTTTCTTTTTTCGGCGGTATGAGACCGAGTGACGTCATCGCGTGCGCCGCGTGCGTTCCACCTTGCGTTCCACAGACCCGGAAGTGGGTCGCGTGCGTTCCACCTTGCGTTCCACAGACCCGGAAGTGGGTCGCGATCGTCTGTTGCTTTATTTTGTCCTATATTTTATTA